AGCTTGTGCTAAACTCATAGTCGGTAGCGTGGCCGTTAGAGATGGGGAAGGATTAAAGGCTCTTCTTTCGAATTTCACGTCAGTCAGCTGTACGCCGAGATAATCCGGAGCGGTGTGTATTCGCGAGGCGCGTATAAAATAAAGATCCGTCGCTGTCGAGCTCTTTTCTCGTTTCCCGCTTAATAACGCTTAATAAACGGCAACCGATGTCACGCGAGACGTGCGCGCTTTCCTCTCTTCTCTTTCACCCGCTCTGTTCCTTGCTTCCCCACTTTTATACGAGCAATGAAACGGATTAAGCTCTTTACGCTTGTGGCGCCTATAGCGCGTCCGACAAGGGAAAAGACCGACGAAGGAAAGAAATAAGGACAAAGTTCACGAGTCGTGAATGTTCCCAACCCTGTACGAGCAATTGAAGTTAGATTTTTTTATAACCAACTTCGTTCTGACGTAGTTGTTCCATGATTTCGTAGTAACTCATTCAAAAGGGGAGCAAATATTTTATGGGGCAAATACCGTCGGCAAATTGATTTTCTTGTTTACGTAAACCGTACCACGTTAATTACTTTAATTAATTATGATCATAATATGACAAGAGCAGGAACGTAACGAAATTGATTCAGGTGCAACTATCTCTTGTAACTTTCGACTTGCCAAGTTCTCGGACGAGAAGCAGCAGAAGCCATTTATTCGAGTAGACTTCACTCGACGATTAATTAATGTCGTGCATAATATAGAAAAGCGATGCTAGATGGAACATTTTAAATATACAAGAATTATGTTATATTAAACAGATATTTAATATACCATCGCGATGGTTGGGATATTTCGACAGATTCTGAAAATGCCTCGGTCCTTTTGTTTCCCGTTTTTACCCTGACATTTCTACTTTGCGCAGACGCTTCTGTTATCGGATCGTTGTCGGAATGAATGGTTTATCGATTAATTTGCTCTTCTCGCACGTTATACGTGAAAGCGAGTAATTTGCTTCTACGGCGATGTAATTATCGTTTATTTTGAGAGGCTTACTTCAATGCTCCAGGGAAATATTCCTCGTTCAATTTATTTGGTGTATAACCTTCCAAGGTAGGAAGATATTTGACAACAAACCAAAGTACCAGGTGTTTCATGTACGACTAAACCGCAAGCCGTCGATACGACCAATTAAACGAGGCTCTAATAATTTAACCACGTGTCGTTGCCCTGCCCAGATTTGGCCGTGATAACGCTATAGCATTCGACCTTTTCTATGCAACTAACTCGGTGGCCGAGTAGAGAGAGGGGTATCCGGTTGCCATTGGCCATCGATCCCAAGGGACATTTTATGCTAACGTTATGGCTTACTAATAATAACTTGCTGTCGCATTTTAGGAATGCTAATAATCATACGTGCTAGCTGACTCGCACGAAACTAGCGAACACGTAACATCTTTTTGGACGCATAAACTCCAGTCAAATCGACCACGTGAAAATATAATTACGACTTAGTCAGCTTTATGTAATACGTGCTGTTACGCTAATGATACATTTTTGCTTCTGTCCCACTATTTTTAGTCTTTCTCTCTTTCTCTCTAGGCATAAATTATTATATTTCCTTTGTTTGTTTGAGCTAGATCGGAAAAATAATATGGAACAGATTCGAGCAATAATATTTACGTTTCTCCTTAAATGTAACGAAGGATCAATCAATTTAGTTTGATCGACGAACAGTGAGACCTATGAATACTCTGTCGACATTGCTAAGCTTAGCGATAGTCCTTCAATAAGCGTCCATTCGATTAATCAGTGTCTCCTCTGGGCGATAGTACAGAATTGAGGAGATTAAAGTGATCCTCAAAATCGATGGTATTTTGCATAATACCATAGACGAGATATAGCATAAACCTAATTACATTTTTGTTACATCGCCATTCGAAAAATTCCAGAATTCTTTTATTACTTTTGTATCGTCTCGGATGTCATCGATTCATCAATTCTATTAGATACTAATACGTGGGATTAAAACGAAACACGACGAAGGTAACGGACACTGAGTTAGATTATAAAATACGACGTTGCTTTGAGATCAATTCGTTATTTTTGTTTATACCGATGGCTATCTGCTGTATTTAGTTTTTCGTATTACGAATATTCCTGTCCAAACTTGTTTGACAAACTCTTAGTATGCATACGCTTACAAAGGAAAGTTATATTCTAGTAACGAGTACACGGCATCGTTTCTTGCGGTTTATACGATAGCGACACGCGCGAAAACTATTTTATGACATCCTAGCTGGATTCTTGTAGAATTCCGTAACTGTACATTTCCATACAACACCTGTTTGTTTTCTGTTATTTTTCCTTCTCTTCCTCTTTCCTTTTGCTCAAACGAATACATCTGGTTAGAGTTTGGTAGGGTCCTGGTGCGGCTTTATATTTTGCTCTCTTCACGCGTGACGTCATCACCGGAATACGTGAGTCGCTTTACGAATGGTAGAACAACACGTAAAATCGTGGAAACCGTGGCATCAACGAGCGTAACGAGAACTACCCTACTAAGCCACGAAGGGATTTCATTCCGAAAGGAAACGTCTAAAGAGAGATTTACTCTGTTGCGAATAAATTTTTCCGGCCGAAGGGAAACAACATTTATTCTTTGCATAACGTTTAGTGAAATTCAATTTGGTATCCGTGAATTAATGGGAAAGAAAATTGTTTCGAAGAATACTGCGATCGCGACAGTGGATAGAGCGATGATCAAACTTGTATAAGAGCTCGTTGAAAAATAAGATAGATCGCATCTTTCCTTTGGTACGAGATCAATCGAAAGTACGTGCTTCAAGCCGTGGCTGGATTGTATGGAAGTTGACGAACGAAGATAGGGGCGAAAAAACTTAAGAAAATGGATGGGTTTTAATATCGCGAGCTTTGCGAAACTAGGAAGTTGTAGTTGGACAGAAAATCGCAGACTCGCTAAGCTTTACAGATTGTGGGTTCAAGACTCGGTCGAGTAAATCATGGCATCCTATGTCCGTCAGTTCGTACTTTAAGGCATGGTAGGGCGCAGCTGCCATGTTACTCTGCCGGATCATCCCGGGGGATTAGCGATACTTCAATAAACTCCACTACCTCCGCCGTCATCGTTGTGACGACTGGACTATGCCATGTGTGTATGAGGAACAGAGCGTGGTTAGCAAGAACAAACAGGGAAAAAGAATCTCCTCGTCCCTCGAATTCTCTCTCTGTGTTCCCTTTCACAGAAGTCATTCGATTCCATCTCGCGTATGAGAGTTTAAAATTTACTTCGTATAAACAGGCTTTTTCAATGCCGATCGTGTACTGTTTGTATGTTTGCATTTAAAATGAAATCGGAATTTTTTTTCAAAGATGTTTCACATAAGAAAACTATAAATTTGAAATCGAACGTTCGTGCTTTATGATTGTCTTTTGTTTGTAGATAAGAAAGATCGTTGGCAGCACGGGAATCGTATCTCGTGTCAAGTAGTAAAGCTCGTGCATTCTACAAACGAAACTAATATTCGCTATGTTAGGATTGAGGGAGATAGATAGATATATAGAGGTGCTCGTGCATTCTACAAACGAAACTAATATTCGCTATGTTAGGATTGAGGGAGATAGATAGATAGATATATAGAGGGAGAGAGAGAGAGAGATAAAGAGAAAAGCAGAGCACTCGAGAGACACTAGCAAACAGTTTATAGAAATTCTTGAATAACTGCAGTTTTCTATACAGTCAATTTATTGTTATACCATTTTATTGCTTAAACCAAATGCGAATGGCTGAAGAAGAAAGAATATTTGAAAGATCTTTGATCTTTGGTTTTTTATTTTCTTCCTATTCACTTCAGTTGTCTTTTATAGTTCCGTTTGGTTTTATGGTTTTAGAGTAACTTACTCGCAGTTTGTCTCTCTTGCTCGATCCTTTCATCGCCAGACTACTCGTGCGTCTGCAAACCAATCTTTCCTCTATATTTCGTTATAGGAGTAGGAAGAAAAATAAAAACAGTTTTCTTTTTACCATTTTTTCCCTTTTTATCTAATCTTTCAAGTTCGTACTCGTATCTGTATCAAGTATCGAACGAGATTTCAACGATTCCTACTTTGAAATTCGTTATCATGTTTTTAAACATAACATATCTATTTGTAATGGAAACATTCTGTTTCTACTTGTTCGTTTTGCACGATGTTTCCCGCTCTTCTGGTTTCTTGGGATTTACATGGATTTAGCATGAATGATGGTGAGGATTAACTAAATTAACGTACACCACAAATTCAATTTTCCAAAAGTTTGCGAAATGAGCGAAACAGCAACATAATATTTTGTAGTCATACTCAGCTTCTGCAAGTGTAACATTTTAGTCGTTAAATTGCAATATTAATTTTTCAATTGTTGCCTTTATTTCGCAAATAATAATCGGATATCAACGTATACTCGCTTTTTTAACTCTCAAGTTAGGATTCTGGGAATTCGGGAACAGAGAGGAGATAGTTGTTCAAAGCCAGGTAGGTGTTTGACCTGCAGGCAGGTACGATCAACAGAACCCGCAGTTTACATAGGTGTGTAACATTAGCCGAGTCTGAGTAAATATGCATGCTTGTAGCACACCTGATTGAGTTACTCTATAAAGTCTAGATGCTCGCGTGACGTGTATCCCAAATGAAACTCTAAAGAGTTAAAATGATTGTTCATTGTTCTCACATTATATTATCATTATTGATCGTGTGTATCACTGTTTTATTAACATTCGTTGTAACCAATCACGGTAATCTTTGACAGAAAACCATTATTGCCATCGAATCATTTTCTTCTGCTTAAGCGAGGGTTTTTTTCATAGAATACCAAACTACTTTCGAATCTAGTTTCATTCGTTTCATATTCCTCTTGTACGTCTCAGTTCAACGAAAGCAGCGGCATTTGACGTTGAATTGTTACGTACGTTTGGTAAACACAAGGTCGTTATCAACACTGAGAGCTAAGTCTCGTTAACCATTCCTAACAGGCGAATACGAAGCATCCTAGCATTGGATTTGATGCCTTGTTCGAGAATCTCTATTACCTACGTGATGTCTGGAGACATTTGCTAACCCGTGCGATACACAGTCAGATAACACGCGAACGAGAGGTTCACTTGAAGGACTAGCGGAAGGACGTCGGGGCAATGCTACCAAATGTTTCACAATGTACACCAACCCATGTATGTACCAATTTAGTACGCACACACACGTTTATCTGCTTCTCCCGTTGGCGTCTTCTACTGCTACATTATTTATGATTCGACGTTACTCATTATCGTTCTACTATTTTATTGAATATCTCTTCTTCTTCTCTCTCTCTCTCCCCTTTTCTTTATTTCTTAGTATTTCTATTTAATGGAAAAGAAGTCAATATTTAGGATTAAGGCTAGATAATTCTATCGGAACTAATTTATTACATTCTGCTAAAGAATCATATTCATCTAACATAAATTCATATCTTACCGTTTCCTTTTATGTTCCTTTCACTTTGATTCATACAAGTAATTTCTTTTATTCATTCTTTCATACATTGCACAATGGACATACTGAAATATTTCCCGTTAATTGAAGCATGTAATATCGTATTTCACAAGTATCAAGAGAACGTAACACAGCGCGCAAAATAAGCTGGGGCAGTTTATTAGATGCCCTGCTGTGGCGTTTATTAGTCTTCCTCCTTCCTTTATAATCGGAGTTATGTGTACACTGATATTTGATTCTGTGCATTATACGCATAGTCTGATAGAAATTCGTACCTGTAATTTGAAGACCTGATACGCAAAGCTAAACTGTCTTTGTCTTCTTATGTAATATTGATTTCGTACATTCGATGGCATCCGATGTAAACGTTTGCATTTGATACAAATATTTTCTTGTTAGGAAAACTCATAGTATTGTTCATGTTTAATTAACGTAATGATACCTTTTATGGCATACTGTATTATATTAATCGAGTTTTGTTCTAATAATATGAATTTAATGTTCATTTCTTTTTTCAAACAGTTTTGAAAAATCAAACTGACATTATATTTCAGTAGCGTCTGAAACCGCAACCAAAATCGATATCTCTATTTATTTCTTTATGACTTTTGCGGAAAACTATATATTGTTTGAAACTATTTCAAGAACCAGAAACTATTTCAAGAACCAGAAACTATTTTATAACAGTTTCCCACTCCAGGTCGATTTATTATTTCATTAATGTCTCACGGAAAAGAATGAACACCAAACTTATAACTATCTTAGTTCATTTAAATTTACGCCTTATTACAATAGTCACGGTTCATTTTACATTTTCACTATTTGAATAGAACTTTTAATATTTCAGATATATTTGAAATATCTTCGATTCAGCGTGTAGCTCTTAGCTTGGTACCATTTTCTGAGAAATAGTCTTTAGAAAATTGTACCAATTACCAGGTCTCACCACGTGGAGGTGGCTACGTATCGAGACCCACTTAAAATTTGTAGTTAGTTAATAACTAGAAATTTGTATGGAGGCAAGATATAAATTCAATCTGCTCGAAGAGATTCAGTGTATAATGATATGGTAAAAGTAAATAATTATTTGGTAATTATCAAGTAATTTTAAACAAATGAAAGTAGCGGTGAATTTGATAATTTTTTACATTATTTGATAATTATTATTTTATCCGATTTAATTTTTATTTATGTGGATGATGAAGAATAAAAAGAGTGGACGCAGGTTATAGGCCAGCTCCAGTATAAGGAAAATGCTAAAACATAATCCTATAATTTTTGGTTCATAAGGAGGCTACGAGTGTATAGGGAGCAAGTACAGGGAATTCATCACTAAGTCATGATGCTTTTATCCAACATCCTCGTCACCTGTGTGTTTCAACCCTATTTTCTTTCTATTTGCTTTCTTCGCGTGTACTTTCGTCGCGAGTCTGCATCTGTTGTCTGGTAACGTGGAGGTAGAAAAGGGAAAGGTGATAGTTGCCGTATTCGTAGTCCTCCGAGGCAGCATCTTTCCTCTAGTTCCACTTGCGTCTTCTTTTTCTGTGTATCGAGTTTCATAGCATGTAGTATATCGTGAACACGTTTAAGTTCAATGTATTTATATCGGTTCCTCGCGGGATGTTGCAAGAGGGCAAAAGAGGTCACCTCTATTTTTGGAATCAGGTCACAGGGGGTTTGCAAAATTGAACTTTGGCGTCGCGAATCCGCCGATTACTTTAAAATTTACATCATTTTTAGATTTTTACGATTAATAATAATTTTTAGAGCGTCAGTATCTATATGACACGAGGACTTGTTAATGAATAAATAAAATTATCATTCTTTTCGAATATTTCACTAGTAAGTGTCAGTCGAATAAATCTTGTTGCCAAACTGTTGTATTTTTGTAAACATAATGGGTTCGAATACCTTTGTTAGCTTATTCGTGTTTGGAAAACGAAAGGTAAGTTAGTCACAAAATAAAGTCTCGTGGAAACGTAGTTCGGATAATGGCTCCGTAGTAGTTTGAAGAAAAGCGATGGGAGCTGCGGAAGTATGTTTTTCTTTTATTTCCGTTAGGACGCGGTGACAGTGCAGCGGTAAAGTAGCCGCCTTCGGCAATTGCGCAATAAACACTAGTCCAGTGTTTCTCAACCAATGATCCTCGTACCACTTGCGGTGTGTGAGAAAAGGCTATTAGTACATATACGTGAATAATTTCTTCAATATACTTTGCCAATTTTTTGTGACCGAATGGAATTGTCTATAGTCTAATCGCTGTCCTATTTTCTTCTTACGTTGCTCTTCTTTTTATTATTTCTTTATTTCACGCCATTGCCACGAAGTGTATATATACTATGTATGTCGATCATGAAAGAGACGAAAAAGAGTCTAAGATTAAACGAAAAATTTAACGAAATAATGTAATTGGGTGTATAGTCTAGAATTCGCGTTTACGTATAAGATGTACTTAATCCTGAAATTCTGTGATTTTGGTTTGAATGGTACGCAGTAATGCGAAGTTTGAGAACTACTGAACAAATCTATTCTTTTTTCTATGTTTCTCTGTTGTTCTGTTTTCGCTCTTATTCTTCCTTGTTTATTTGGTTTCCTAGCAAACAGGAAATCGAATAGAATTCTAGCTTTCTGTCTGAAAGTATACCTGTTTCATCGATAGTAAATCGTTATTATAAAAAAATTTATGGAAGTGGTTGAAACCGAAATAGAATTAAGTTTACGCTAGTAATTACTTGTAAAACTATTATCCTTTATCCGTCTTTTAATTAAGTCAGTCTTTATTGTGATATGGCGCTACGATAAAGACTGACTTAATTTAAGATTTTATTGGGTAACACACTAGCGAATATTACTGATAAAAACTCGACAGTTAAATTTTCAGAGAATCGAGTCCCCTACGAGTAACTCTAATAATTTCGAAGCGAAAAGCTTATTTCAATGTATGTGCAGAAGATTGAGCGAATTTATCGTTTAGATTTAATTGTAAAAAGCGTAGTAGGTTTTAGGGATTGAGAGAAAGCTTCGAGTAGCTTTTGTGCACTTACATTTTCTAGATGGTAAGACTTTATAGCAACAGGCATCATAAAATGGATACAAAGAGACTATATTGCCTCTGGTATGAGACTAGGGAAGCCAGGGCGGAGACGTGAATCTGCATATGGAACGCGCATTAAGTAGTTTCTTCAGCGTTTAATTTAATACCGTGGCCACAATGGACGAGACTGCAACGACGAAACGTTCAACGTCTCCCTTGTATTAACGGAGCTTTATACATCTTCCAGTTTCGGCATCTAGTCGCGTTTCCTCATCGTTCCTTGTACCGTTAACTAGTGCGATGCATGGATACCTCAGTACCCCGGAGATTTTGATTATTCTGGAACAACGTTGATTTTCACATTAATATCGTTAACGATACTAAAACTAATATTATCTAGAGTTTATCGTTAAACTCGTATATTTCGTCGCCATTAAATCTGTTGTGCAATTTTTGAAATTAAAAATACTTTCATGCCGGTAATAGAGAAGGAACTCGGTCAATGCGTGACCTCTATCGTTTCTTTACCTCGATTCCTCCTTATAGTATGACATCTCGCGATTCTCGTATTCGGAAACGTCCCATTATTTCTATTTTCGCTTTATTTAAGTACGATCATAGATCCTAGTGCTTGAACGTTATCGTAATTTTGATTAAGAAATAGAAGGTTTGAAAGTTGAAGAGAAATGACTAAGGAAATAAGCAAAGACAGATGCGGACAGAATTCGTAACGGGACCGATGGGTTAGTTGGTCGTCGAAACAAGGGACCGTCTCGTGCAAACGATTGTGACGCAAAAGGAAAACTCATTTCGAAGAAAAGAGAAATAAAGAGGGGAAAGAAGGATCTCAAGGACAAAGGAGAAAAAGAAAACACAAGCTGGCAGACAGAAGGTAGCAGAGAGCAGGCTAGCTTCATTTCTTCGTAACTCGGCGCGACAGTTGAGAGAAAAATTGGTTCTACCCTTGGTCGGGTCAGGAAGGTGCGAAGGATTCGAGCAAGGGGCCGCTGTCTGGAATACGAAGGGTTGGGTACACCCTCTAATATCTTATGATTTAGTGTTGGATGCAACGACGCAGCTTAAACGCCAGCGCTATACGACGCTACAAGCCGATACTGCTGCGAAATTAAACTTCCGTCGGTGGCTCTTTGACTTTTTTTTTTTTTTTTTACCAGTTTCTATTTTTTCTCTTTTCCCTCCTGTTTCTTGTTCCTTTCTCAGACCTTTCCTTGAACTTCTTCCATTTTATTACGATAAATTTTGCATTTCGCGTTGAGTTTCTTCGAAAAGAGATATTCCTTGCACTTTGGAGATGTATCGAACTTCCTATAAATTACAGCGGATATATGTTTCGTTGAAAATTCGTTAGGTCGGACGTTAACTAAGCGAGTAGGATAAGCTGACGGCATTGGTTCTCTTAGTTGGAAGGGGAGGATGAACTATCTAAAAAAAAGAACGGGTGGGGCCGTTTGTCAGTTGGTGCGCGTCCATTAGGGGTGAAAAATCGAGGAGCAGCACGGCCATAAACAAACAAAATTATACGAGCTGACGGTTCCTCGACTAGTTCAGAGTTCATACGTGTCCGTGTCATGTATTTCGTAGCATGAATTTTTCTTTCTTCGCTACGGTACACATTCGACGCTTTGACTTCCGCT